AGCAGCAGTAAAGCTCTGGTCACTTGAATATCCAGTGGAACAAAAGACCACTGAGAATTCACAGACCCGTCCATTGTAGCATAGGCAACGCCGCCATTCACTCTAACGTAAAGTTTACCGAGTGTGAAGCGCAAAATAGTGGGCTCGATGAGAACATCCGAACCATTCAAGGGGTCAATTGGAGTCCACACTCCCCCCTGACCTATGAACCGAGCAATCCGCCCAGTAGCCTTCTCAGTTACATATAGAATATTCGAGTCTTGATCAAAGGTGACTCCCGTGTATTCCTTAGAAGGATCCGCCAGAGCTATTGTACGATAAGCATTGTAACTCTCCGGATCGAAAACAACAACGTCACCCTCGCTGATGCCGAACACGAACATATCGTTGCCTGAAGCCTCGATATTAGAGAGAGCCTTCTCAGCAACAGGTAACCATTGGTTGCATTCGAGTCTCCAAAGCATACGGATACCATCATCACTAGAGTAGCCAGCTAGATACCATACACCATGGTCAGTGAAACTGAAGGACTCTGTAGTTATTTGGCCAGATGGAAGAAGACTGGGGAACACCTTCCTGTCAGCGACGCAGAAATCGCCCGAACACCGCCCAGTTGGTGAGGAAGTAGTAGTACTAGTCATATGGCCACCACTCGTAGTGCTAGTGGTCAGAGGACCAGGAGTTGTGGTAGTGAACACGGGCCCACGGGTTGTTGAAGTTGTACTTGTTCGAGGACCACGGGTTGGAATGATACTGGTCGAGTGACCACTAGTCGTAGTAGAAGTGCAGAAATCTCCACACCAGTTAAGGAAGCGGAAGTCAGGTCCCTCGGAGTAGTCTTGCATAACAATGCCACCACTGGGATTGAAGTTCACAAGATTGCCGTTGCCCGAGGTACACACTTGATTTGGCGCCAGACCACAGCCGCATCCACCAGCGTAAAGTTCACCCGCGCCGATCAGATTATCCAATGGAAGACGATAGACCGAGTCGATAGACTTACGGTAGTAGAGGAAACCGTCTGGAGCAGCAGTAAAGCTCTGGTCACC